AGCGCATGCAAAAGAGCTGCTAGTCGGATCGATTTCAGACGAAGCAGAAAAGGACGAGCTCGACTGAGTGTCGGAGAGGCTGCAAATCCAAGTTGGCCCGATGGGGCCGTCGTGGGAAAGCGGGGAAACCTGAGTGGATCCCTCCTTAGACAATTAATTCCTTTGGACTTCACATAGTTTTAATTGCATACTACTTACGAGTTATCTAACAATTCCCTCCATTTTAGTGTTCGATACATCACGGTTACCACTCTTACTAACGATGCCCAATCCTTCAAACCTGGCCGCTCTTCCAAATTCCCCCCCTCTCCACCCGATCGCTGCCCGTTGGCATCCATGCCATGCAGCCGGCGACGTGTCATGCGTCCTTCCAGTGGATAATCTACTTAGGTGGGTGGGTAAAATCTAACATCTCAGGACTATTTATTTTTCTTCTTCCAGATGTGCGGAATTCCTTCCTGACACAGAATTATGAAGGCAGCATCCAACATAACACCGAGGAATTGAAAACAATTTGAGATAAGAAAGGGGAACTAAAAGTCATACTATCTACGCAGTACCCCTACAACAATGACTGGCTGGTTTCATTTACTCCGCCTCAACCCGGCTAGCGACACACCAGATACCAAGTATAGTAGCACTATACTTGTACTCCCGTGCAGCCCGAAAGGCATGCTGCTGCTGCTGCGACCTGCAGGATGGATTGGCACCCTGAAAGTATCAAGCATGGAGTACAGGCGCAGCAAGCAGCAGCCATGACTAATGACAGCCAGAAATGCCTCTTTTTCCCCACCCTGCAATGCCTGAACCTGCCGATCCCTGACTGATGTGACCCTCCTTTCTTCTTCCTCAGTCAGCACTACTTAGTAACTTATCTATGTACAGTAGTTGATTTTTCCCATCGCACTTCGTTACAAATTTTTAACTTTTGAATGTTCCTGCGCTGCGGAAAAGGGCGTAGTACTGGCCACAATGAAGGGGGCCGGGGATTTCAACCCATCATACATGCCACTCCTAGTGATTAATGGAGTACTATGGAGTCCTCAAAACAGGGAATTCAAAGGAGATAGACTGGTCCGAATAGTAGATATATGGGAACTGCTTCTAGTTTACACCCCTCTAACATGTCAGCGTACATTCCTCGGCTCATTCAATCATCCATTTTAATCTTAGCTCTGGATCATTGTAATGCTTAGATACCTGCCAAGGCATGTACTATGAGATCGATGGCATTCCCCACATTGTTGATGATTTAAAGTCAACCTCCCCTTGCGTGCCCCTTCCTTCAGTTAGTTCATGTGGTCGGTGTCATCGCCACTCACTACGTAGCTGTGCTAGCACACTACATGGTCTTGAGAGCATTCACTGGCAGAACAAATCTAGCGTACAGTATCGGGTATCACTTGCATTAAAAGCACTAATCATTATCATATAGAAGGATTTCCACCTCACGGGACACAATTACTCGCCCCATGTCCAGCGAGGATGCAGCGGGTGGCTGGCGGCCGGGACGGTCCCCCGCGACCCGATGCTGAAGAATCGCCGCCAGCCTCGGCTAGCACACCCAGCCCAGTCCACTTCAATGAGGTCCGCCCCCTCGTGAACCAAGATACGCCAAATAGTGCGGCGCATCCCTTCTGAGTAGCAGGGTATGCCTTCGTACCGAGCCAACAGCCCCTTTTGATGGGCAGTTCGCACTTGATCCTGGATCCTCTCGATCTGCTGCCGAGAAAATCGCCCGCGATGGGGCGATCCAATGGTCTCGCTGAAGTTGATGGAGGCACTGTACTTTTGGAGGGCATTGGCCAGGACTGTCTGTCCGTCGACGCCTGAAAATGTTTCTCGTGGGTCCTGCTCAGAAGCCTCCCTTTCTTCTTCCGTCGAGGTCTGTACAACAGCAGACGCTTCGGACCCCATTACGTATGATTCATCCAAGAAGACACTATTGCCGACGCTCTCAGGGCTGATGGTGAGTCCATCAAAGTCTACTTGCTCCCGACCTGTCAGAACAACAGTGATAGGCCCTGGGAGGACCTGCGTCCCATTTCGATGGGTAAGGTACCCACGTTCGCTGAGAAGCGCCAATTCAGACAAGAGACGAGGCCACACCTTCTCTGCAGATGACCGGATTTCCAAGTACAATTTGAATTGCAGTGCATCTTGTCCAAACAGTCCTGTTGTGGCCGGCATGAAGTCCTGGTCAGGATGCGCTTCGGCTAAACTCATAGCATCAAGGTGGTCCAGTAGTGGCTCCAGATACACCTTGCGCAGCGTGGACTCGTTCCTAAGGCTTGACATTGAAGAGCCTACAAGGATGTCATCGTCCTGTAGCCAGATATCGGCCTTGACTCCAGTACAGCCCGCCGCAAGGGAGTACTGGATGGCATCTGCATGAGCTCGTGGGTTGTAGGATATACAAGCAGCCGGCTGGCCTTCAAACTCCGCAGGCCAATGAATAAACCCCGACTGCGCTTTGTATTGCTCGTGTAAGAAGAGATAGGAGACGCCATATGGCAGGAGCGAGAGAAACTGAATCGCCACTCTAGAAATGAGTTAGTACACCCTGATCATATGCTCATTATACTGCTTTTGAATGATATAGTAAAGACGTACAAGAACATCAAGAACACACAAATCAGGGTAAGTGCGCGATCACTCCATCTCTTGGTCACTGCGGCACAGCATTTCCGAAGCATCCAAAGTACACCGGGACAGCAATCCGTAGGATGGGAGCGCAACGGATGGTCCTCAAGCAACACCCACGAATAGGCATCGTACTCGTCAGCACTGAGCAGGGGCTGAGTGCTACCCGCATCGCGGACGTTGACGTGGGGTGTGGCGGTCATTTGGCGGTCCCAAATCGCCGACCCGACGTGCTGCATCTAGAAGGGGGGTGGTGGGAGGCGATCGACGGGTAGATACCAGAAAACCCCGGACGGGGAGGTCGATGCGGTGAGCGAGGAGGGACGAGGATGGGCGGATTTAAAAGGGGGCAGAGCGTGGCACGAAGGCAGGCCCAGATAGCAAGAGATCCATGGTCCTGTGAGACGTTGGGATGGCAGAGTTAAGTAACATGCCGACGAGCACAAGAGATGGAGGGAGTGGATGGGGATGGGGATGATGATGATGTATAGCTCCAGAGCACGCCATTGCCGGCGGCGATGGTTCGGATGTTAGGGAGAAGCACCTCATGGAGATCCCGTCTGCGGTGAAGGGGAACACGTCGGTCATGCTCATCATCTTAACTTTTTGACCATTGCTCCGACTGCAGCTGATTTGCAACCTCACTGGTTAAAAGAAACAGTCCTTGCGTTCAATGCATCGATTGCCATTGTTTTCCACGCTTGTTCCAGGGGGATGCTCACGTGTTTGCGATGAAGAAAGTAGAGATCAGAAAGAAAAGATTCATCAAGTCTGGGCAGTTCCCGGAGCCCCGTTCCGAATATTCGCACCTCTCCTCTTGCGTGAGTTTAACTCAGAAGTCCCCATTTATCTTGCGACTAGTGGCACTCCTACGGTAGCACCAGCTCCAATGGACGGACGGACCATCCAATCATGATGATCCTATCCCCTCTCCATCATGACGATCATCATCACCCATTGGTGCATCGGTGTGATGCAATCGGATGACTTATTGGGTGCTGCATGCCAATCCCGGCGGTTGCAGTTTGGTATCACTCTGTTCATTAGTATCTTTATCAACGCCCTTCTTCTTCAAATCCTTGGACTGTCAATGGAGAGCCGATGACGAGGCTCGCAGCCGGTTCCGCTTTTGAAGCCGAACCCCGATCACGTCCAGCAGCACCGTAAACGGGCCAAGCACAATAACATGCACACCTTCCCATCAGATCATTAAACTAAAGCCGCCGTCGCGTGTTAGCGTCGGATCAATCACCCTACTACATTGTTCAGTGGCCATGATGCCACTAGCTGCTAAAAAGAGGGACCGCGTCCAATGCTCCCGACCGCAAAGGGGCGTGTGCCACAACGGCCGGGCCATGGTTGACAACTTGACAAGGATGGAGCGATGACCACTTGAGAAAAACCGGTCGCAAATGATAAAGTAGAGATACATTTTCTCGCAGGGACCTCGCAATTCTGGTCAACGGAGAAAGGAAATTGTCGGCAATCGAGTCTGGTGCCAACGGAATCCATCTTTGGCTTGCTCACGCCTGCCCAAACAGAACCGAGAAGCTTGAATGTTGTAGCGGTCCTTAATAGTTCAAACTGATGTCTTGATATGGCCAGTCTAGCCCCCAGTCACTTTCCTTGGCCGATATGCCCTTTGAGCCAGACTTTGGGGGTCTAAGCTTAGCGACCAGCAGCAGCGCAACGACTTCCTCCACTGCCACGGGAAAATGTGAAGCCACATCCAGCCCAGGGACAACTTGATGACTATGAGACGCTTCACAAGGTGCCACTGAGGTCGCATGAACGCAACCAGATAGGGGATTATGACAGGGATGTATTTCCTACCCTAACAGACATGTCGCGCCCTGGACTTAAGATATCAGTCATCTTCGGTTATGCGGCGATACGGCGTGCACGTATTGCCTCATTTGGTCCGTTGAAATCGTCATGCTTCTTGTCAGTAACAGATATAGTACACAAATTTGAATTGGTACTTCATTTTAGGCAGTGAGCTCAAGCGTCACTCGTTCCCGCACAACTAAATAAGCACATAGTACTTTCCTTCAATGAACAGGCAAGGATGCATACTGCTTCATCGCGTGTCCGGTTCTATAACTCAGCCTATTATTGCTGGGTGGAGGGACCCTCAGACCGCACTGATCGGGAAAGGTACTGTTTGGGCCCTACCCTGCAGCTTAATCTTCTCCAGAAGGACGTTTTTCGAGTCGAAGCTGCGGTTCAGGTAACTTCTGTCCAAGGACCGGCCTGGCCTCAGGTTCTTCGTCTGTAAGCACCAAGACAGTTCGTAATGTACTTAGTCCAGGTCAACCATGCGGTATGCTACCGGTTGGGCACTTCACGAATCGGCAAATTGCCGATCAACGGCTTTAATTCCCTGCATGATAGAAGATCGAGTCCGAACAGCTGTGGGCCAGTCAATGTCCGCGATTGCTTTTTCCCATACGCGGGACCGTACAGAAATGTTCTTGCTTTTTCATGAGAGACGTCAAAATAAATTAAGGGCCCATCTTCTGCGAGCCCTTCAACTGCCTGCTTCCTACCAACGCTTTGATTTGGGTAGAGTGAGTGGCAGCACAGCACCGTTTCCTTTTCTAAAGTCGTAATGCCTTGACGTAGATTTTGCAAACGGGCTGACCCACTAAAGCAATCGTTAGTACCATTGTTAGCATGGAAACCAGAGTAACATGATACTCGAGACACAAGGATTCCTTTTCCTAACCGAAGCAGGACAAGAGATGTCAGTAGACGATGGACAAATGAGAATAATAAACATTGCAAGTGCCCGTGCCATACAAAAAGAACAGTTGAAACCATCAGAGCACCATAAATTGATAATAAGAACGAGATTCCTGGTCAGATCGAGATTGTCAAATCCATGTATTCGAGTGTCTTAAGGAGAATAATGAGTCAAAAGTGAAAAGGCCGTGGTTTGTTCCATTTGCAGCATCATGTGAGCGAATCAGACTTGGACTCGCCGTCGCTTTCCACCCCAACTTCCTGGGATCCTCGATACTCTCTAAATTTCTGATGTCTTTCCCCTCTGTCTTTCACGGTATTTATGCGGTACCTTGCAGCTTGGGTGCAATCATTACTGGAGACAGGTAAACCCAGATAAAAATTGTGTTGGACAGTTATTCTTATGGCTTGCAGTTCGGAAGAACAGCCGTAAGGGCAGACATCAATTTCACAAGCATTACGAACATCCCCTGGAAATATCAAATGTCTCTCGGTTAATTACTGCATGCAGGCCTCTCTATCACATCTCTAGAGGAATGGTTCTGCGTCACAGTGCTCCGTGACTGCCCCGGATCAGTACAAGTCCTGCCTCCCAAGATGTTTCAGACAGCTACAATCTACAGCGACATCAGAGAATACAGCCGGTGGTTACCAACTTCTACAGAATCTGCATAGAAGTATTTTTGCCTTACTAGCTAAGCTTATGGGTGTGCTCTTACAGTATGCGCTCGAAGTTGCCTGGATCCAACCTGTTCTGACTATTTGTCGGAGAATTGTTCATATAGTGCGTTGGAGACCATTGTTGTTCCCCATTCTTCGACTGCCTAGCTCGTGTGCTATGGAGTGCTGAAGCTTATAGTTGAGACAAGGTTCCACATACATTAGGTTCTCGGCCGGTGATTGGTACGCTCATGGGCCACGGGTTGTCTCGGTGGTCCGCGGATGCAGCCCAACCCTAAGGGACCGACAACGAAGAAGGGACGGGATGATCTTGAACTTTTCAGTATCGGCAGGATGCCATTGCAAAGCCGACGCGAAGCGTGGTTGTGGCGTCATAACAATATGGAAGTGGAGGGAGCCTGCGTCGGTTACATGGTATCCCTGCATGTTCCCCTGAGTGGCTTCAGCACATCATCATTTGCCATGATAATGGCCAGTCAATTCGACGTCGTCCTGAGCAAGCAGCTACCGGTAATCTGAGACCTAATCCTGGTAAGTGGATCGAGTTCATTTACCTCATCATCTAACCTCGCTTCATGATTCGCAGGCGCTTTCCGCGACTAGTCGATGCCAGTATCCATTTGCCTGCAGATCCGATGCTTCCACCGACCACCGTTACTTCTCTCCAGACCCCCATCCGGCTTTCCGACGGCCTCCTCTGCATCCCCTCACAAAGCAAGCGGAGACCTGCCTGAATAGGGAGAGTTTTTTCAATGAGCCCACACGCAGTTACCTCGCTTCCGCATGAGATGGGTCCATTCTTGACAATGCTGCCTAATGCGCAGAAGGGCCGTCATGCGCCTGGAGAACTACATAAATAGGGACCACGCATGCCCCGACGATGTATGAATTGTTCAAACTTCTCCGCCCAAGTGAGTTCTCTTTTCATTCCATTCCGAAGGGAGAATCACCAGTATGCGGGTTACCACGGCAATTGCTTCATTACTACTGGTCGGCTCGGCCACCAGTCTCCAAAATCCTCATCGTCGGGCTGTTCCGCCCCCTCTCTCGCATCGCAGCGTAGCGTCTCGCTCCGTGCCCGTTGAGCGCCGAACCACCGACTTTGAGTATTTGACTAACAAGACTGCAAGTGCGTGATTCCGTTTTTTAACTACCGCATTTATCGTTCTAAGATCAATTGCAGGATTCCTGGTCAATGGCACAAGCATCCCCGAAGTCGATTTCGACGTCGGCGAGTCCTACGCCGGCCTTCTCCCCAATACGCCCACTGGCAATTCTAGCCTATTCTTCTGGTTCTTCCCCTCGCAAAATCCAGAGGCCAGCGATGAGGTTAGTGGTCGCTCTGTTTTTTCCGGTCATGCGTCAGCCAGCTAACAATTAACAAAGATCACCATCTGGCTCAACGGCGGCCCCGGATGTAGCTCCCTAGACGGCCTGCTTCAAGAGAACGGCCCATTCCTCTGGCAGCCTGGCACTTACAAGCCCGTTCCTAATCCATACTCATGGACCAACCTCACCAATGTGGTTTACATCGACCAACCCGCCGGCACAGGCTTCTCCCCGGGCCCCTCGACCGTAAATAACGAGGAAGACGTGGCTGCCCAGTTCAACAGCTGGTTCAAGCACTTCGTCGACACCTTCGACCTGCACGGCCGCAAGGTCTACATCACCGGTGAAAGCTACGCGGGCATGTACGTCCCCTACATTGCCGATGCCATGCTGAACGAGGAGGATACAACCTACTTCAACTTGAAGGGTATCCAGATCAACGACCCGTCCATCAACAGCGACTCGGTCATGATGTACTGTATGTTTCCCTTCATATACCTCCACCTCCACCACCACCACCACTAACAACATCACCCACCAGCCCCCGCCGTCCGCCATCTGAACCACTACAACAACATCTTCCAGCTAAACTCCACTTTCCTCTCCTACATCAACGCCAAAGCCGACAAGTGCGGCTACAACGCCTTCCTCGACAAAGCCATCACCTACCCACCCCCCAGTCCCTTCCCCACCGCCCCTGAAATCACCGAAGACTGCCAAGTCTGGGACGAAGTCGTCATGGCCGCCTACGACATCAACCCCTGCTTCAATTACTACCACCTGATCGACTTCTGCCCCTACCTCTGGGACGTGCTCGGCTTCCCCTCCCTCGCCTCCGGCCCAAACAACTACTTCAACCGCTCCGACGTCCAGAAGATCCTGCACGTCCCTCCAACGGACTACTCCGTGTGCTCGGAGACCGTCATCTTCGCGAACGGCGACGGCAGCGACCCCAGCTCCTGGGGTCCCCTACCCAGCGTCATCGAACGCACTAACAACACTATCATCGGCCACGGCTGGCTCGATTACCTCCTCTTCTTGAACGGCTCGCTCGCCACAATCCAGAACATGACCTGGAACGGTAAGCAAGGGTTCCAGCGTCCTCCCGTGGAACCGCTCTTCGTCCCTTACCATTATGGTCTGGCTGAGCTGTACTGGGGCGATGAGCCTGACCCGTATAACCTTGATGCTGGCGCTGGATACCTGGGTACAGCGCATACCGAGCGCGGGTTGACTTTCAGCTCGGTGTATTTGTCTGGTCATGGTAAGTTTATTATATCCCCTTGGAAGCGGTATGATGAACGTTAGAGAGTGCTGACTGTTGCTTCCTCCTCGTGATAGAAATCCCGCAGTATGTTCCTGGTGCGGCTTACCGCCAGTTGGAGTTCCTGCTCGGTAGGATTAGTAGTCTTTCGGCGAAGGGGAACTATACCTCTTGATTTCAGCGGATGACGACAAAAAGATGATGAGGAAGATGATTGGATGCTTTCAGATGGGAATGCGTGCATAGGAGATGAGATGAGATGATGTATCATTGAGGTGTGATGACTTGTACATATGTAGATCGGTAGTAAAAGGGATACTATAGGATATGGTATTTGATGTATCATTTATGTACACCACGTGGATTCAATTGAGGGGAGCTTCAATTCCTGGTTATTACTTATCATATTTCCAACATGTCCGCGTATAACCGGTAACAACTAACGGCTTCATGTTTGTCAAGTGACTGTCTTGGTACAATACTACTGTTTCTATATTCTACTGTTGGTAACTTAATCTGGACATATTCTATATCCACGTACAGATTCTCGCTAGATTGCTCAAGTGTAGTAAGGTATCTATATAAGTTCATGAATCGCGTATCCAATGCATAACAAATCCTCCAATAATGGCAGCTAAGGCGTCCTAGCACCTTCGCCAATGCCCATCAACCCTCCAGCTAAGCCATTCATACGCCGGTCAAGCAGGTCCTCCTCGCTGGCAAGACTGTTAATACTCCGGTTTCTTTCCCGCAAAGGAATAGGACTCGGCGATCCAGAGATATACCCGTCTCGAGGAGGGATCGTTAACCTCATTGGAATGGGACGCTGTTTCCTGGTGATCCCTGGCCGCAGAGTTCGGCCTCGGGAGACGCTACGGATGCGCTCCTTTTTAGCATCCTCGCTGTCGCCATCCTTGGCAGCGATATCTTGACTATCAATCTCGGTACTGTCGATGGGTGCGCTGGAGCTGCGATGCAATGGTGTCAGTGGTGTCAGTTTCTTGATGCCTATCTCAAGAGGCCTATCCTCGTCGCCGGATGACTCTCCCGTGAGACGACGTCTATGATTGCGGGAGCTATTGCCGCGGGGAACGGACTTGGGCCCCTTTGGCATTTGTGCGCCGTTGGTGAGGGCCCTCAGGTGGCCAGAAGATGATTTCTTAGTCTGGGCGAGGTCGAATAGATCTTGAATCCAAGTTGCGCAGCGGTAGATGTGCTTCCAGCTATCGGGGAAGAAGCCGGCCATTTGCATGAACCCGTGAGAGATCCCGGGTAATAGGGAAACCTCGACATGGTCCTTTGCGTTGAACCTGCGATAAGACTTTTCGAGGCCCAGTTCTTGTCGTTCCTGGAATTGGCGGAGCTTAGCTTGTCTTAGTCGCCCGGCGAAGATGACCGTGTCGTCAACTAGAGGGTCACGTTCTCCGGTGATGATGTACGTCTTGGGGAAACGTGCTAAGAGCTCTTCCGGAGCCAGGGCTGGGGAGAGTAGGTAGTCCGTATTGAAGTCGGGGCGGTTGTGCGGTCCGATGTAAAGGATGATCATTGCCCTCATCATCTCGGGGGTTAATATACGATCATTAACATACGATATCATCGATGAAACAGCCAGTCGTGTTCGGATCTGCTTAGGCTGGTGCTCAGTGATGGCAGCCACCTCCTCTTCAGTGACGTCCATCTTCTGTTGCTGTGCCAACTTCTCCGAGGTAGCGTCAACCAAATTTCCGACTTCCAGATCCGCGTCAGAGAACGAGTCACGCTGGAAATCTCCGAATGACGTTCCCGGAGAGGTAAAAGGCGTCAACCGGTGATAGTCCATATCTTTTCTTCGAAGCACGCTCTCATTGGTTCGACGTGTGCTCTTCTCTTGTATTAAAGCCATTTGCTCTTCCGTCATCCAGCTTTCTATCTTCATGTTCAGCGCGGGATATGGTAGAACTAGTCCATCCGGAGGCGGAAGCATGTTTTGTCCTTGCCATCTAGAGGCATGTGTACTGCCAGATTGAAGGATCATAAGGGTGACGCCAGTAGCGAGGTTACCACCAGCACTATCACCAGTGATGACGACACGAGGACGAGTCCGTCCGTTGAGGCCCAAGCACCGCCCACGGGTGGAGACAATGGAGTGATATACATCATAACATTCATTCAAAGCATACGGATACGGATACTCCGGTGCTTTTTTGTAGTCGAGACTCAGTACGGGAACTTTGGTTCTCGCTGCCCAAGCCAGAAGTCGGTCTTCGGAATGCCGCGGGCTCATCGAGACAAATCCACCTCCAGGAATATCCAGGACAATGCATGTTTGATCACGTAGCGCGGCCAATGACCCATCAAAGTAAAGCCACGCATTTGTTGGCTCCTTGTATATTGAGGACGCTGGTCGGGGGATGCGAATGGCACGCGGAGGGTACTTCGTGAGCCGCGGGCGGCCCAATTTAGCGAGTGCCCAGAGATACGGTGTGGTGCTCTTATTCCACGACACACGCATATGCTCTACTGTGAGCGTAGCACGGACCCGGCGAACCTTCTCATCTGCCTGTTCGGCTGCGATAAGATAATACCCAGAGAAAACCAGAGACGCAATATCTCGTAGCCACTTTGGCTTTATCCCCATTGCCGTCCAGAAGCCAGCATCTAACCCTGTCGTAATCCATGTTGCCCGAAAAAAGGAGCGCGAGTATAGATTGGCTAAAGGCTCGGGACACTCGAGGCCAACAATCTTTGCAAAATTGCGGCAGATATAGAGCCAGAGGAAGACTAGGACAGTGGTTTGCCAGACGCTCAGCTTTTTCGAGAGTCGGGATGAGATCTTGCGGATGAAAGGAGGGCCATTCTTATTTCCTCTACGAGTGGTCTGTCAGCAAAACAGCGATAGCAGACACCAATCGAAACGCACCTTAATAGATAGGTAGACCAGAATACAAGTACAGCAAGAACCTGGATTTTCCGGAATTTTGTAGATGGCCGCCCAAGGACGTGGTCTGGATGTATATATTAGCGGCAGCCTCATCACATCCATGAGGTTTGCTGGGCCGTCAGTTACCTATCATCTTTCCGAAACACCCCCGGGTATCAATCAGGCAGCAGCAGTCTATAGAGGCTTTGAAAGAAGTCTATGGAATATACACGAAGCTTTAAATATATTGGAGGTAGAAAAATTGGAGATAATCAAATGGAAAGAGTCATATTTCAGCTGCGCACTGGAACGATGGGAGGGGCAGTATGGAAGGACAAAGAATGGACAAAAGCGGCGAACCACTGTAAAAGAGGAACAGGTGAGCAACCGACAAGCAGACCACTAGCCTGTTTATTATCAAAGTAGGTCAATAATGGCACAGTTCAGTGACCCAAGTACGGGGTATGTGGGGATGAGGGGAGGGGAGAAAGAGGTGTAGTTGGCGTAGAGCGAGGGTATCCATGGTTCAGCTGAAGAAACGTAGTGATGCATGTGAAATCCCCACCAGGAGATGCATGGTGATCCAGTCATCTGGGAAGGGTCAGTAAGCAGTCCTTGAATAACCGGGGTTAGTCTGGCAGAGGCCCAAAAGCCGGGTTTTGGCGTCGATCACTGATGGCCCTCCGCGGTGGCTAGCTGGATGATGATAGCAAGACTAATGACAAGGTGGTATTTAGTGGGCGAAGGGAAGCGCGGAGAGTTGCCCCGTGCCGAGTCACGGGAGGGCCCGGTCACATGCAAATCCGCCACGAGACAACTCATGTGCCATTCCTCTTCTGGTATTTCCGGTTGGCCTCTACTCCGTACTGAAGCTAACAATGCATGAGAAATTATTATCATCTATTATATATGGATTGCATAGTAGTATATCATTTCATTCCCCTATCATTCTAAGGTTCTCTCTACTGCTCATAGTTTCCGGCAATAATCCCGACCGTGGGCGACCTGCCAATCACACAACCAGACCTCAAACGCCATTCCCAGAAAGCCCGCTATACAAATTCCGGCAGAATCGCTGACAGTCGTCGCTCCGAGCGAGAATTCTCGGTCTTCCTTCGGCACCCGGTCCCCGATTTCGGCGAATGTATTGACATAAACCAGCCCCCCTAATAGCCCTTCCCAGAAGATGACTATAAATATTATGTACACGCTCGGGATGAAGTCAAACAAGGCGTGCAATGTCAATACGACCAAATTGATGATTTGCAGCAGTGACGGAAGGTAAAGATCGTGAATCCGAAAGAAAGGGGTGGACGATCGCGAGATGAAAACACCAACCTGATAGATCGCATTGTACGCGGGATAAAATGCACGATAATGTTCAAACGGCGAATCTTTAAGTGGAAACAGCAGGGTCGGAGAAACCCCTTGGTTGATTGTGTATTCGGCCACATAGACTAGCAGAAGGGGGAGCATGCTGCGCGGAAATGTAAGCATGCCAATTATTGCTTGATGATACTAGCGTGCACTTACAAGGGAAAGAAAAGTCCCCTAGCTCGCTGCAGGTTAGCTTTGAACACCTGCAAGCCGAGCTCATGACTCGCGTCGCTCCTCTTGTTTCGGCTCGGGGGAGCTGAGGAGCCGAGTAGACCGTGCCGCTCATCCAGAAGGTCATCCCGATCTTCCTGGTCAATTGCACGATACTCAACAGGTGCAGCGGCCAATGTCCGTATGGGAGCTCTTGGCAGAATGGCGAAGAAGCTCACAACCATGATTGCTGGCAGGCAGGCAGCTGCTAGGAGTGTCGACCTGACACTGAGCCCCATAGAGGTAGTTGCGACGGCGTACGCACCAGCCCCGACCAGCCCGGCGGCTCCGGTACCACTACCCCAGGCTGCCAGACTGAACGGGCCGTAGAAGTGCGTCAGTGCTAGGAAGCTCAGTTCGCCTCCTCCGCTCGACAAGCTCGCCAGAATAATGCCCGCGATTTTGGTGGAAATTGAACCGCCATCTGTATACGCTGGGCTCAGGGCCACCAGAAGCATACCCACGGCTGAACATAGCACACAGAACAATACTCGAGCCGGATATGGAACCAAATGAATAAAGTAGGGTGCTATCAGCTTGGTTCCGAATGAGGGAATGACGTCTGCGAGAAGAACGACGCCCTTGGGGACACTAGGACCAACTAAATCGAGGGCTGCGGACAAAATGATAACATAGAGGACATTGTTGATCAATCCTGTTGCGAGTCACGCATGCCGGTCAGTGAGCCACGAGTAGTTCTTATCAGTTCGCGGTGTCTACAAGACGGCCAACGGCTTACCAAGTAGCCAGAATGCAACACAGACTCTGGGGTCAGCGCCATGAAATAGTGCACCGAATCTCTCACGAAATCGGGACCATGAAGAAGACGGGGCTCCAGGAAGAGGCAGCATTGGTTGCCCGTCAGGAGCAGAAGACATAACCTGATAGAGGAAGGGATCCAGGTGTTTCTAGTATGCTACAAATAACGTTCCGGCGAATACAGCAGGACTGATCACAATAGCCAATACGAGCAGGGAGTAGGCAGGCTGCAATGGGGCATTCTCATGGCGAAGCGGATTGACGGTGAGAGAGGTAGTTACTTGGTACCTGAAGGATGATAAGCGTGTCACGGCTCATCCGCCCAGAAAGGGCGGTCCCACGTGACGCCTTACTCAATGCAGTAGTATTCGTTGGGGACTTGATCCAAGGGAGAGTTTCCAACTTTTATTATGTTATACGGTTTGCTATGTGTTCTCCATGAGAAACCTCCAATTCCAATTTATCCAATAAGCAGAGCATCTATACATTAGGATTGTATCACCTCAAGGGATCTATAAATCATGGCTTACGCCATCCAGCTCACCGCCGGGGGTGCAAACAGCCGGCAGAAAGTCCGACTGCTATCGGGACGATCAGGGCTTATCGGGTAATGCTTTCTGCCATCGCGATTCTTCCTTCTTCCGTCCCGACCTCCGCCACTCCGCATCTTCTTTCTCCAAGTCGCAATCAGCTTCAAGCAGGACCAGTCTCTACCGGACGCCTCAAATTCCTCCATTTAATCCTCAATAATACGAAAGAAATAAGCAACAATTCAAAATGTTCCTCCGCACCGCCATCCGCTTCCCCGCCAAATCCTCTCTCCCTCTTCGCGCTTTCTCAACCCGCGCAGCCCTCCTCTCCGACAAGCCTCCCTTCGCATTTGCCAGCGGTCCGGCTCCTCCGCGTTTGCCTAAAGAGGAGCAAGAAATTTTCGAAGAGCTCCAGCGCAAGTCCACCGGCGCTTTCAGTACCCCGCAGATCAACCAATCGCCCGACTCGGAGCCCGCAGTGGCAGCTGAGATCAACGCCACCGGTAAAGGCGAGGAACTGCATCCCGATGTGAAGTACGGAGTAAAGCCTGAGTTTGAAGGAGAGAAGAACCCCAAGACTGGAGAGATCGGTGGACCGAAGAACGAGCCTCTGAGGTGGGGTGCTGAGGGTGACTGGAGCTATGGTGGACGGGTTACGGATTTCTAAGAGGATAATATTACTCTGCTTGATGTCCGTTGATGTTGGTATATATAAAAGGTGCATGCGGAGGTTGACTTAGGTGTCTGTTTGCATGAGTGGCGTTGGTTATTGATTGTATCATGGTTATAGAGCTTTTTACTTCCCGCTCTCCTCTCTCATCTTGTGCTATATGTGTATATTATGCCACCATCGAACTTCGTTTCGAAAACCCTGATCTAGTCTGGTCAGTCGTGAACATACTGCGGATTTTACCTCGATAAAGTCTTCAAATTTTGTACATTTACCTGCTGATCTATACTCGGGATGAATGCTTTGGAGCGAATCGGCCGGCTCATTATTGGCCCCAAGTAGCAAATCACAACTCAGTAGCTATTTCAGCTACCAGAACGTACAAAGTGTACTTTCCAATACACAGGTCGCCTACAAAAGGCATGCGATTGTGGTCAATGGGCGCTAAATCATCCCTTCTGATTGGTGCATGGGAAACTGACAAAACATTCCGGGCAACTGCTTAGGGGCTGTACTCAGTCAACTACTAGGCCACCCAGTTGGATGTAGCAGTCCAACAGCAACTATGCTTCGGTCCTTGCAGCGATTGAGGCCTTCTCCACAAATGATATAGTCTCTGCGATACTCGCACTCGCCGCAACAGCGGCAATCATTCCAATGTGGAAGTAAACATAGCACTCCGTCGTCACGCCCCTTCCTTGATCTCCGATTTTCAAAATCCAATCCTCGTTCGTATTTACTCACTAAAGAGCAAGACATTTCCATCACTAACCATCATTACTAGAAGATGACCCATACACATACACAGGAGGAAGGTGGTTGAATCGCGACAAACTCCAACGAGATTGTCGCCACATACAATTCAACTTCTCTGCACTCTGCGAAAGAGTCATTCATCTAAGTCCAGGTGCAACTAAGGTCACCAAGTATGAGAAAAGAGAAGGCGGATTCAATAGAGTCTTTATCTTCACCATGGATACAAGCTTTCGTGTCGTGGCGAGGCTACCGACCAGTATTGCCGGCCCTCCAAGGTTGACAAACAACTCTGAAGTCGCGACAATGGCATATTGTAGGACTGAACCTGACCCCTTCTACATGATACAGCTTTGATAGGACACTGATAATGTCACTGGCGTAGTACGATCCAAGTTTTCGCTGCCAATACCCAAAGTCCTGGATTGGAGTGACGACCCAGCCAATGCGATCGGCACTGAATATATAATTCAGGAACATGTTGAAGGAGTAAAACTGCATCAAACTTGGCCGAATATGAACTCTGCGCAACACATGTTATGTACCAAGGCCCTGTCAATGGTAATCAAACAGATGGCATCCTTGGACTTTCCCGCATATGGAAGTCTATACTTTTCTGATGCACCCCTCGAAGCGCACTTGCAGATCCCCTTCGAACAGGGGTTCTGTATTGGGCCGCACTGCAGTCCAATCTTCTGGAACAGGAACGCAGGAGAGGTAGAGCTTTACGGCGGTCCAAGCCCTAATTGCGGTCCTTGTCAGTCTCATACCTCTATACACTGTGCTCAATGTTTAACACAGTGTGCCACTTCTAGGGCCCGACCTCCAAAGCTACTGCACAGGCTTGATTGAGACTGGCTTCTCTCGACTGCCAAAAAAAAAAAAAAAAAACCATCAAGCATGGCCTCCCTCACCAAGGGACCATCCAAGACCACATCCAACTAATAAAAACAAGCCAAGCAGTTATGCAGAGATTGATCCAAGATAAGCGCATTCAGGATGCTGCGACGCCAGCTCTTTCGCACCCTGACTATCACAAACGGAACATCTACGTCTCCCTAGAAGATCCAACTATCATCACTGGCTTGATAGACTGGCAATCAACAAGCATCGAACCAGCCTTCATCTACGCCAACGAAACCCCCGATTTCGCCACTCCTCCACACCTCGACGACGAACAACCAACAACACCTATCACCATCACGACAGCACGCGAACGCAAAGACGCCTCAATCTGCCATCAAACCTACAACGTCGCCCTAGTAGGCCTAGTCCCCCAGCTCCGACCCGCAAGACTCCTTGATCCGACCTTATTCCGACTCTTCCACTACACCCATTTGACATGGACAGGTAGTGCAGCTGCTATCCGTCAGGATCTTATTGAGCTATCGGATCGGTGGGCGGAGCTGGGATTGCAGGGAACGTGTCCGTATTCTTTAACGGACGAAGAACGGGAAAGACATGCTAGGGAGTATGAGGACTTTGAAGCGGTCCAAGGCCTTAAGCTATGGCTTAAGGACGTTTTGAATACGGACTCTGATGGCTGGATTCCGAATGATGTTTGGGATGCGGCGAGGGATGCGCATCGCGCTGCTTATGAGGAGTGGATACAGACGGCGAGGGAGTTTGAAAATAGGGGGGAGGAGGGGATGACGGTGGAGAAGGCGGAGAGGTTGTGGCCGTTTGATGCGAGATAACCTAGTACTTGTATTTTCTGAAATTGTGTAGTATACTGCTGGTTTACTGTGATGTTTCCCTCAAATGACTAGGGCGTGTGTCGTAAAAGAAAGTACTTGTATGGCATCAGCAAATAGATATGAATGATGGCTAAGGTAGCTATTTAACAAGACTGTAAAGTTATCTGCAAGTACTGATTTCACTCTTCCATCCGCGCCAGTATGGCCTTGCCCGCACGACTCTCATTGAACCGGCCCAGCTCCCCACTAATCCAGGAGCCGATCTTGGCCATTTCCTCCAGGTTGATACCAGTGTGCATGCCCAGACCATGGATGGTATGTACAAGGTCCTCTGTCGAGACATTCCCCGTTGCACCCTTCGAGTAAGGGCAACCACCAAGACCCCCAACACTGCTATCGAAGATGCGGATACCATGCTCCAGCCCTACGATAGTATTGACGAGAGCCTGTCCATAAGTATCATGGAAGTGCAGCGCCAGATCATTATTCGCAATCCCGGCCGCCTTCAGAGCCTGCAGTAGCTTCATCGTGCGGGGTGCCGTGCCCATGCCCGTGGTATCAGCCACCGACACCTCATCGGCTCCCATTTCAAGTAGCGTTGCAGTGATGTCGGCCACCTTGGATGGGGATACATCCGGACCCTCGTACGGACAACCCAGAGCAACCGAAACATAGCCCCTCACTCGGATGTTCTTCGTCTTTGCTAGCGAGACGATTGGACGGATGCGATCTAGTGACTCCTCGATTGTGCAGTTTGTGTTGGCCTTGGAGAATGCCTCCGTTGCTGCTGCGAACAGAGAAATCTCGGTTGTTGTTGGGGTTTTCGTGGCAGATCCTGTCGTGTCTGCCGGGACACCTGTGGCATCCATGATTTTGATCAGGTTCTCCAGACCCCTCACATTAGGGACGAGGTAGTTGTAGGCAATGGCGGTCTGTGACTGTGGAGGAGTCTGGAGGAGGTGCTCGCAGATCTCTGCAGTGCTAGCCATCTATCATACATATATCTGTTAGTTTTGTAGTCCAAGGAGAGGTGGCGTCGTCGTTACTCCTTTCGGATGCAAGCAGACGTCCGTACCTGGGGCACCCATTTCGCCGGCACAAAGGATCCCGCCTCAATTGTGGTTACACCTGTCTTAGCAAGCTTCTCAATAAGCTGAAGCTTGGTCTCAAGTGGAATCGATTTTTTCTCGTTCTGCAGACCATCTCGTGGCCCTACTTCGACGATGCGGACATGGTCCGTGGTTAACCGCGCCTCAGTCGCAAAGCGGCGTCGAGCTGGGGCCGTGCGAAGGGCAGAGAAGAGGCTCATTCGAGGTCGGAAGGTCATCATTTTGGCAATTGCTATCAGCTGTGACTCATGTAGAAGAAGCTCCTAGGTACAAAAAATGAGAATTCGAACCACGCGACAGCTCCCTGGGAATGAGGAGAGAAGTGGTGATGGCAGGATGAACTGATCAGCTAGTCCTGCGGAATGCGGAGAACCGACCGAGGCCGACGGGCGTGACCCCACCTGACCCGCCCTGCTGACTCAGCCTAAAATATCCATCATCCCACTTTGGAATCACTTTATCGCTGCTCCATATCGCTCTCGATCAACCCACATTACACCATGAACGGCATACCTGAAGACTCGGCGCCATCGAGCGCCCCCTTGCGACAGCCCAAGAAGAGGTTCGTCGGTCGTCGGACAGCAGACGCGCAAGCTCAGAAGGATGCATCATCCACCGCACAAAATGTCGAGACTACCAGTATACAAAAGGGTCAGTAGCCCTCTCACAGCCAATATTACATGCACTCACAACTTTCATGTATAATTCTCAACTAACGTCTTATTCAAAAACAGCCACCCCCCGCCGCACCCCCCGCACCCTAAACCAAGTCCCTCCCGAAATTCTCGAAGATCCGGAAATCCTCGCCGCCATCGAACTCCTCCCACGCAACTACTCCTTCGAGATCCCCAAGACCATCCACCGCATCCGCACCTCGGGCGCCAAACGCGTGGCACTCCAATTCCCCGAAGGCCTCCTCATCTTCGCCACAACCATATCCGACATCCTGACTCAATTCTGCCCGGGCATCGAAACCCTGATCATGGGCGACGTGACCTACGGCGCCTGCTGCATCGACGACTACACAGCGCGCGCACTTGGCTGCGACCTCCTTGTCCACTACGCACACAGCTGCCTGATCCCCGTAGACGTGACCAAGATCAAGACCCTCTACATCTTCGTCGATATCAGCATCGACACCACACACCTAATCGCCACGCTAGAACGCAACTTCCAACCCGGAAAAACGATCGCCACAGTCGGCACGATCCAATTCAACGCTACCCTCCACGGACTGAAACCCGTTCTCGAGCGCGCCGGCTTCAAGGTCCTCATCCCGCAGATCATGCCTCTCTCCAAGGGAGAAATCCTGGGATGTACCTCCCCGACCCTCTCCGCCGACGAAGTTGATATCCTCCTGTACCTCGGCGACGGCCGCTTCCACCTCGAGTCCGCGATGATTCATAACCCGGCTATCCCGGCGTACCGGTATGATCCGTACTCGAGGACGTTGTCCCGGGAGACGTATGTTCACGACGAAATGCACACGCTGCGCCGGGATGCGATTAACACGGCGAAGTCGGCGAAGAAGTGGGGGATTATTCTGGGTTCGTTGGGACGACAGGGAAACCCTAATACGATGGCGATGATTGAGAGGCATTTGAATGAGAGGGGCATTCCATTTGTTAATCTCCTCCTGAGTGAGATTTTCCCGGGAAAGTTGGCGTCCATGGGGGATGTGGAATGCTGGGTGCAGATTGCTTGTCCGCGGTTGAGTATTGATTGGGGGTATGCGTTTGCGAGGCCGCTGTTGACGCCGTATGAGGCGTTGATTGCGTTGGGGGTGAGAGAGGGGTGGGAGACGGAGAATAATGGGGTTTATCCTATGGACTTTTATGCGAAGGAGGGGCTGGGGAGGACAAAGCCGGGCCAAGCGATTGCGACGTGAGGTTTGTGATGATGTCAAGTGATGTTTTTGCATGATGCATATGAATGACTACTATAGATGTCTTTTTGTTATGTGGTCTCAGTCTGTCTGGGATACAAAAGCTCATGATTATGAAATAGAATTACCATGTTCTCTTTGCGGAACATGTGGGAAGCATTCGTCTATTTTCCGAACATGTGGGTAATAATAATAGTAATAATACATCAATCAAGTACGCTACAGTGCGGCATACATCGGTCATGATCCTTTGACCTCATCCGCACTATCCGTGTTGAGATCACTGGCACTCCCTCGCCGGAGCGAGAGGATGCTTTTGCTAGCAAATTCGTCCGCTGTCCGCTCTGCTGCGCGCCATCGCGTAACGGCTTGCTCGACATCCTCGAACATCTCCAGCGTGTCCTTGATGATACCGCCCTCCTCGTGTTCGGGAACCTGCGTGCTCTCTCTTGATCCGCTATCGCTGATCATAGGGAAAGCAGGCCCAAAGCCACGTTGAGGGATAGGGTTGAACATCACGGCGTTGGCGAACATGCGGATCAACTCCTTCTCTAGCTGCGCCGAATTGACAATACCCTTTGGGGGAATGATGTCCTCTGTCTTTTGCAACATAAGGACAGCATTCTTAGAAGGGGTCCCTGTACCCGGCGCCGGTGACTCCCCGTCGCCTGCCGGTGTGCTTGCAGCCTCCGTAGCTGCCGCCAGTGCCCTGCTGCCCTGGTGGATCAGCGACTTGATAGTCTTGATATCTTGCGGCCGATAGATAAGGTCGCGGTATCCCGGTGCGTCACGTTCCGTCAGCGGCTTGGAAAAGGTTCCCGCAACCTTGTGCATGCTCAATTCACTCATGATAGGAGCTCCGGTCCGAGGGAAATTGCGAGCGCAGACTACATACGTCGTCGACTGATTAGGGTCAGCGCGAGTAAGCTGGCTTAGCTCCGACTGAGTAGGTTCGGCCTCTAGGCTCTCACTCGGAGCACGCTTGCGCTTCGGTCGCCCCCTGCTCGGCCGACTAACCGAGGGACGTTCGGGTTCAGCCGTTTCTGGGATGCCAGCTGGGGTACTGGGTACTTCATGCTTGATTTTTGCCTGGGATCCAGTGCCCGTATCTGCTGTGGACTCTTCATCCCGTGACAACACAGACCTTCCCCGGCTTCGTGACGACGCCGTGCTTCGGTCACGGTCCTTACCGCTAGACAGCGTTCCCCTCTCACTCTTCCTTTTAGTCCCTCCCTTGCTTTCTGCATCAATCGACAGGGTCTGATCGGCGCCGGTCCCATTACTTTTTGTCTCCGTCCTCCGCTTTCGACGGCGAGGCTCAGGCTCTTCTGGCGTCGGCTCACGAGATCCCGGCAAAGACGGCGCCTTCTCACTGATAGGACTGATCTCCTCTGGCCGTGGTCGCTCGGGCGAACGAGGAGAGTGGGGGATGCTCAACCGTGGAGTCCGCTTCCAAGGCGTGAGAGAGCCAGGTGTAAGAACTCCCGTGTCAATCGAAGGCCTAAGAGGCCGTGTGCTCGGTGGCCGCGAAAGGATAGAACCCTGCGCAGGCCCAACCGGAGTCTGGAACGCGGGTGGTGGAATATTCTGGGCAGGTGTGTGGGCAGCCGCGGGCACAGGACCTGGAGTCGACGGACCAGGGGTTGGTCGTGGTCCTTGCGCTGCCTTCTTGCTTTCGAGGGCTGGGGTGGGTGGAGGGAATGGAGACTGAACCGCACGCCCAGCAACAGCGGCGTTCGTCGGTTCTGGTTTCGGCTTTGCGAATGCTGGGGGAGGTTGTGGCGTTTGCGGAGGTTTGTTTAGAGACCACTGCTGGAAACTGGCCTGCGGTGGAGGTCGCTGAGGCGCCGGGCTAGCAGCTGGAACAGACTGACCTTCCTTGGCAGAGGGCTTGCTGGCCAGGACTTGCTGTTGCGGAGTGGAAGGGATTGGCACACCGGCATTCTGCGGAGCTTGCGAAGGTGTAACAGCGGGAGGGCGTGCGACACCCGGACTGGGTACTGAGGCATTCGGCGGTTTTGGCGACGGAGCAGGTGGCGCGGCCACTGGTGCGTGGTTCACAGGGGCATTCTTGGGCACAATAGTTGGTTGTGTTGGTGTCGGGAACGCCTTTCCATTCAGGACCGGTGGCTGCTGAGGCGGCCGACCAGTCGCTATCTGAGGGCTGGGCTGAGGACGAGGTGACGGTTGCGGCGGCTGTTGAGGCTGTTGCTGTGGCAGTGGCTGAGGCTGAGGCTGTTGCTGGAGCTTTGTCTTATCTGCCGGTGGCAATTCGACGGCCCGTACAGACTGCGCGGGCAGAGGCTGGGGTTCCTGCGGTGGGCGCGCGACAGGCTTCGCGGGTTGCTTGCTTGTATCCAGCTCCTTCCGCTGCGGTTCCAGGAGAGGCTGCTTAACATCAGCAGCTACCAACGGTGTCGCAACATGCATAGCTTCATCGCGGGGCCGTTGAATTGGTTTCTGTTCCTTCATATCCACATCCATCGGTTCTGGCGCGGGCTCCTGCTTCGCTGGCGCAATCGGCTGCGCCGCTGTCGGTCTTGCGGAGGTCTCCGAGAGCGCATCGCGGTCCTCCTTCTGTAGCTGGTCAATCTCTTTTCTGATATCCCTATATCTCTGCTCTTCATCCTCAATCTCCCGCGTTACCAACTCCTTGTATCTGGCATACAAATGCGACACTAGCCCCGGCACTTTGCTGGCATGGTTATGAACTTTGTCCGCCAAGCCATCAGGTCGAGGACTGGATATCTTGCGCTTTTTTGGGTTATTGGGGGTCGCACTCTCGGCATGGTGGCCGTTGGGTCCAGCATTGGTCGAGTCCCAGCCATCTCGCATCAGCGTCGTGTAGAGATCCTCCAAGGCTTCTGGGCTGAGTCTGCCCGCATCGTAGGCGGCATTCTCTCGAATGAAGGGATTGTTGCGGAGCACATCGGAGATGGAGGTAAAATTCGCGGGGGGAGATTCTAGGCCGGCGAGAGACTGGAAGAAGAGGAGAGATTCAAAAGGCGTGTAGACCGATAGAGGAGGCATCCCCCATTGCCCGTCGAATCGGCCTCTGGGGGGGAAATATTTAGGGATTGGGGCCACGGTGGTAGAAGTGATCGCACGATTGTCGGCCCGACGAGCTCAGTCCAAAAGGCGACAAGTCCCTCGTCGTACTACTGTAGAGTGTCGTGGGTAGCACCAGGCAGGATAAGAGACGGATACCTGAGATTCCAGGCCGACAAGACGCGAACGTGAGTGAAGGTCGGGGTGGCGGTTCAGACCATCCGCGCAGAAAAATGAAGGGAGACCGCAAGGGAAAAATCGGAGGGAAGGTCAAAAAGGATGGAGAACGCGATGGAGTCGCGAAGGGGAGGCCGTGGGAAGGTAAGAAGAAGCTAAATTTGAATTACGTACAGCGGTAATGGGTTCGTGAATAAAGAGTGATGGAAAGGATAGGCGAGATGACGGGACTGGGGATGGATGGCTGAAGGGGACGGGGGGAGGGATAGGATGGGATGGGGATGGGATGGCATCACCGTTGCGGGCAATTCACCGGGAGGAAAGACTTGTTCCTTCCAGAATGGAAGTCCCTCCCTTTCGTTTTCCCCCCCAAAACGGGAACTGGCTGCTGTCCGGTCACGTGGGGGGCTGGAATGCCCTTCTGGGCCTGCCGGACTTATTTTCCTGCCTGGGAGTCACTGGCGGCAGCTTTTCCGAGAGCACCCAGTAGTCCCAGCCTTCATGCCTCCTCACCTCCTCTTCCTCCCATCCAAGCTCAATCAACACCTTTTCCAGATTCTGGACTTGCTGCCTATTCTCATGGACCGTGTATCTTTTGCGCTTCCATGTATATGTTGGGATTGCGCCATTTCTCAAAAGCAGCTGAACCATAGACACAGACCGTTGCCGGACAGCTAGCATCAAC